GAGAGAGAGAGAGAGAGAGAGAGAGAGAGAGAGAGAGAGAGAGAGAGAGAGAGAGAGAGAGAGAGAGAGAGAGAGAGAGAGAGAGAGAGAGAGAGAGAGATGGAAGAAGATTTACCTTACAAAAAATATACAAACCCATATCACCCACGAACTCAATCGAAACCGAACCATAGAAAAACATCAATATAGTGCCATCAATAATGCTATTACACCGCATTTTTAATGGACTGGTCGACCCGTAAAAATATCCGACGATTAGGCTAGAGGATATTTTTATTATTAGAGGTTAGGCTAGACTGCTAGAGGATACTCTATTAGGATAGAGGAGACAGACACACGTCTCAACGTTCCGTCTCACTACGAAGCACGTCCGAACGAACGCCACACCAGCAACTGGGCGGAACGAGACAAGAATGTATGAGGAACGTCAATGGAAGTGATTCATCAAGGTGTACCCGCCAGGGAGTTGATTTGGGCGCCGCTCAAGTGCTATCAACTTATTAATATGGCGCTCTGATGAACGGCCCTTAGCTGCCGCCAGGATACCCGGCGCTCTTGTTGGGGGCTATGGTGCTGCTGTGGTTGCTGCTTCAGCCTCCGTTGTTGCTGCTTCAGCCTCCGTTGTTGCTGCTTCAGCCTCCGTTGTTGCTGCTTCAGCCTCCGTTGTTGCTGCTTCAGCCTCCGTTGTGGTTGCTGCTTCAGCCTCCGTTGTTGTTGCTGCTTTAGCCTCCGTTGTTGTTGCTGCTTCAGCCTCCGTTGTTGTTGCTGCTTCAGCCTCCATTGTTGTTGCTGCTTCAGCCTCCGTTGTTGTTGCTGTTTCAGCCTCCATTGTTGTTGCTGCTTCAACCTCCGCGTCGGTAACTGTTTCAACCTTCATCAACCAACCTGTCCTCATCAACAAAGGCCAAATGCTCATTAATCCACCCGTCAAACCCCCTGTTTATGAATGAAAACAGTTACACACGACTGATGACGTTCGAACATTTCTCGAACAGTGCTTCGCTAATGACCTCTGTTCGAATCACAGTTTTGTAAATGTTTCACCCGCGTACTTCAAATACAAATATTCACCATCAGAACCTAATCACCAGCCCTACGCCCCTAACTGTACATAGAAATTTAATAAATAATAATGTTAAGTAATATATCAGAAGAAACCTATATATAATATGTACCATGTTAATTCAGATGAATGCGATTTAAAGGGGGGGGGGGTACGGCCGCCGCTTTAACGAGCCTGGCCAGATGACAGGTTGCCTAACCTATGCCTAAATGTGCTCACCATGCTACTATATATTAATATAAATTTTCTAAGGAAGAAATTAATATTTTGAATGAACAGTATGTTAGAAAGGGTGAATGCGTCTTTAGGGTCGGCCGCCGGATGGAATGAACATAGTCGGAGGCCGGGTTGCATCCGTGAGCGTGTGCAACCTGTTCTCTTGCCTAATTTAACCGCATTTTGAGGTCAAAATCCGCATCAGACACATAAAGGGGCGTCCCATCCCAAATCCTGACCCCCTTCCCAGTACTATATAGTCGTAAGCGCTTCTCCTGATTTAGTTCTCTTCCCCTTCTCGGTTAGGTTAGGGTGTTCAAATACACCATTTTTTGTCCGTTGTGGTAACTCGAGAAGACTGGCTGACGGGTGTGTGCTTGCGCATGCAGCACACCAGTCCGTCCTCCTAAGGTTTGCCAACGTCAAGAAAACGATCAATTTAAAGTGGTCTCTCCTAACCTACCAGAGAACCCAAAACAGAAAACGGGACAGAACGTCACTTTCGCAAGCCACTTCCATTTTCTAGTACGACAATTTTTGGCCCTATGTAACGCATACGAGCGCAAAGCGACGTTCTATGCAATATAACACGTTAGACATACAGCCCCGCTCCTGGGCCAGATAAGTGCACCACGGGCTCACCATAGCCCGTGCTGCTTGGAACTTTTTGTTCCCAGTAGCTGTATCTAAAACAACAACAACAAAAGCTTGAGCATAGGGAAAGGGGGGCGGGGAGGAAGGAGTGATGAAATTACCAGGGAAAAGCGCCAAACCATTACGACAAATATAGGACTTGGAAAGAGTCATGATATGTATGTGGGGATGGGACATGGAAAAAGGAATAGTGCCCCCCCCAAGCACTTGTAGACAATGAGGGATTGAACGCCGACCTGCATGAAGCGAGACGGTCGCTCCACCGTCCTGCCCAAGTGGCTGCAGGTTGAGGGAGTAGAGATCAAGAGGTCCCCAGGGCACCAATGCGGAGTGTACGACGGATAAGCAACACGTCCTGTCCGTCGGCTGGGAGGCGGACTTACGACACTAGTGTCGCCGCGGCCGGACTGTAGACGGGGCGGGTGCGGGGGGGGGGGGGATGGGGGGTTATAGTGGGGGGGTGAATGGGGGGTTATATAGGGGAGGTGGGGGTGAGGAAGGAGGGAGGGGAGAAGGAGTATGGAATGGGAGGGGGAAGGGTTGGGGAGGAGAGGGCATGTTAAGCTCAGGGGTCGCATGGAATGTGCAGAATAGTGCATAGTCTCGTACCGTTGGGCTCAAGGGCTCTATTTAACCGACAGGTTTCTCGTATTTAATACATTTCAATAAGGCTTTATTTAATACAAACTCACTGTACGTACAAATAACCCACTGTATTACGTTCTTACGTATATTTTATGAATAAAATAATAATAATAATAATAATAATTAGTTATTATTATTAAATACATTAGCAACATGTGAATCTAAATGGTATGCTCGATTATTACAAGCAGCATTCTGAACACCGAACACTCCGACACGTGTAGCCGTCTGAACACTCACCGGCACGTGCAGCAGTCAAAACACACACTAACACGTGCAGCAGTCAGAACCTAAGTCTGACACGTAAACAATAAAGTGAGGGTATGAAACGCGCACATTGTTTGGGTTGGTCCTCGTCTGGTTTGTTTACCCCTGGTGTGTGGGACCTGACAAGTGATAGAAAACTGAGCAAGTATAGGACAGACTATTCTATAAAAGATATGGCATAACTGTAGTTTAGTTTATAGTGCTGCTCAAATAGCTTCGTTCCTCAACTCAGTATTGGCAAATAATGGCTTTAAATAGCCTTTAGTTATGCCAGAAATCAATTTCCAAAAAATTTTCTACTGTATCCAGCAGAAATAAAGAGTTAAAACGTGTTATTTTACTGCTGTTGGCGTCTCGCTCTCCTCTATAATATTAATTATAAAAATAATTAAAATACTTTACTTAGTTAAAAGTACATATAAACAAAATGAGTTACAAGCAGAATGTGGGATTTCTAGAGAGAGAAATCTAGACTATGAACGAGGGAATGCCTATACCCATTAATACGCACAGCGTTTCGGATAATTGGGTAATATCCGGTTAACTCTCTGGTTAACTGTCTCAGCTTCCTCGTAGCCGGCGTGTGAGACGAGGTGAAGACCTAGCCACCAGCGGCGGAAGACTTGAGATAACTTCCAAGAACTCTTAAAGAATGCACATGTGGTACCTCGTCTCGGGAGGAGTGACGGACGTGCTGAGGAATGTATCAAGTGCTACTCGGCCACCACGTGCTCAAGTGCTACTCGGCCACCACGTGCTCAAGTGCTACTCGGCCACCACGTGCTCAAGTGCTATTCTGTGACCACGTGCTAAGTACTGCCTCGTAAACCAGCTTAGCGTTTACAATAAGATTGACATTAACTCTAATATAATTCTGGTGATTTGCAACTTCTTGATTCTCTCTCACTCTTTGTCATATATATATATATATATATATATATATATATATATATATATATATATATATATATATATATATATATATATATATATATATATATATATATACACTGGCTCCAAGTACCCCAACACAATGAATAAACAATACTTTTAACTACCGAAAAATTTTGAAGCCTCAAAATCTGTAATTATTCCTAATTCATTTGTGTATTGAGAATGTACAAGAGCAGACTACTGCTCACACACACCAGGAGCACTCCGCTACATACCTGGCTGTTGGCAGACTTAGAGCCCTTCTTACCTCAGCTAAATGTTTGGAACCTAAGACCTCTTCCTCCCTCAGCTCTCCCACCAACAGCTCAGTGAAATCCTTCCTCTAATCTATTTCGTCCAGGTCCCACAGTTGCTTCTTGTGTCACAGCGTCGAGGAGTTACAAAGACTATAAGAGATATGTGATAACTCATAGTCGGGCAATCCTCCCACTTTGTTCAGGGTTCGATCTCAAGTCTCCTCGCGTGGTAGGCGAGTGTGACAGCCAAGACACCACAGTGAGCTTTCAAGTTCAAGTTCAAGTAAGTTTATTGAGACAAGAAAAAAATATATCTCAATGGGATAGAGTAGCTTAGGCTATTTCTACCCCCCATTGGACTTTAAAACACCATTCAAGAAGTATCCTAACTTTAAAAGTGCCCTTAGAGGAATTCTTCTAAGGAGGAATAACATAATCCTTCAAGTTTGTTTGTTTTGTTGTTGGCAGGGATATTAACGTATAGATAAGGCAGCACCAATGGGGACACTCTGAGCTATATGCTCCCATTAGGTAATGTTTCCTTGTCTATTATCCGGTCAATCCCTTCGTGTTTGACCGGAATTAGTTATTTTTAAAGTGTAAAACTGGCAACCATGTGAAGTGCATAACTAATAATTACTGTTGACATCCTAGTTACTCTCGGCTCTTTACTAACGACTGATTGATGCAGATTAAGCCACCCAAAGAGGTGGCACGGGCATGAATACCCCGTAACTCTTCACTAAGAGTGACATCAATACTTGCATTTGAAGGCGGGGGAGTTCAATTGCAGCCTGTCGCAGCCCATAAAAAGCAAGGTGTGAGGTGAGTGCTTGTGTGAGAGGCTGTTAGGTCTGAGGAGTCGAGAGAAAGGGAGTGTGGGGGGAGTGGGAGGGGGGGAGGGTATGTTGTTAGTGTGGTTGTGGGGGAGGGGATGGTAGAGGCAGCAGCAGCAGCAGCATGGTGTTCGGGCCTGCGGGTGGTCAGTCGTCGACACCCACTACCACTGACAAGGCGTGTCGCGCCCTCCTCGACTGGAGCCTCGCCACGCTGCCCACACCCTCGCCCGGAGCCCTTTTCGCTGTCAACAAGTTCCTAAACGCTGCCAATATCGACCGGAGGCCCCTTCGCTCTGCTCACCTCGTCTGAAGATCATTTCGATAACCACATCGCCTAGAGCTTAGAACCTTTGCTGCCCACTTCCTGACACTCGTGCTGCCCACCTCCAGACACCTGCTGCCCACCTCCTGACACTTGCTGCCCACCTCCTGACACTTGCTGCCCACCTCCTGACACCTAACTCATCCATCTACGTCTCAACTTACCTGCTCAGGCTGGGCATCATTGATCTTATGGGTATATGCCATCATCCTCAAATATAAAAACCTGTGAACCCGCTTCGGAATACTAGTGATGATCCATATTCTCGTGAATCGCCGAAGCTTAGATCAAGCTTGACTCCGTGTGCAAGTCCCATAAGTAAATACATAATAGTTATACTATAAACTCACCAATACTCGGAAACGTACAAGGATTACAAATAACTGATAATTTGTTAGAGAATCGAGGCTCAGTCAGTCGCTGCTCAGAAAAAAATGTGAAAGGAAAATATATACAGATAAATATATATATTCTCAGTGTAAGACAGCGCTTAGCAGTGACGAATGTTACAGTGAGAGAGAGAGAGGAGAGAGAGGGGGAGAGTAGAGAGGGAAAAAAGTGTGTAATAGTGACCAACCATCACCCTGAGTGACGTCTCGCCAACAACGATGACAGCAACATACTTCCTGCTGGTGAGTACATTAATGGTCTAATGGGACTCTCCTGGGCTTGAAAGATCCTGTTAGACAGTGTGGGGACTCTCCTATGGCAAGTGGGTCTTGTTGGGACTCTCCCGGCACTTGTGGTTCTTGCTGGGGACTGTGGAGAGTCCACTGAATCTCATGGATTTCGCTGGGTGCCATTAGATATTAAGAATCACCCATTTAATGCTTTGGTATCCCTCTTTAGTGGTGTCATGGAGTCTCTCTTGGGGTCCATGAAGTCCTTCTGATTGTCATGGGTCCTTCTGATAGCCATGAGGTTCCTATGGCAACAAAAAAGGGATCATTTACATGAGGTGGTGTGTATAAAGTTACTGTGGGAGTTGGTTAATATAAAATATTTTGATTGTAACAGTATTGGATCTTGTAGTTGAGGTAGATGGCAGTGTAGTGTGTGTGTGTGTGTGTGTGTCGTAGGAAGTGAGAGACGTAGGCGGGAGAGATAATCGTAATGAGACAGATTACGCTATCTTTATCTCTCCATCTCTCTGTGTATGTATTTCGCACACAATTAGTCTCACACTTCTAAATATTATCATTCACACACACAGGTGTGTGTGTTTACTAGGTGAGTACTAGGTGAGTACAGGTGGAAATTGAGTACCCAAATGAGCCATAAACACATTAGAAAGAATGTTTTCAGTGTCACAGTAGTTGACAAATGGAATGCATTAGGAAGTGATGTGGTGGAGGCTGACTCCATACACAGTTTTAAGTGTAGATATGATAGAGCCCAGTACGCTCAGGACCCTGTATACCAGTTGATTGACAATTGAGAGGCGGGAACCAAAGAGCCAGAGCTCAAACCCCGCAAGCACAACTAGGTAAGTACAAGTAGGTAAGTACACACACACACACACACACACACACACACACACACACACACACACACACACACACACACACACACACACACACACACACCACTTCTAACTACAATTTATGTGAATGACCTTGTCCGAAGGGGGTGAACTCGTGCGTGTCAATGTCCCCAGATGACGCAAAGCTAATGAGGAATATAAAAACATAAGAGCCATATAAGAATGAAGGAACTGCATAAAGCCCATTAACCCATTAAGACAGCTTCTATTTGTATCCCCCCAAACTCATTCATATATTTATCTAACCCATATTTGAAACAATCCAACAATCTCCCGACTATTATCTTCCTGATAATTTGAGCCATAATTCGGCAATCCTGTTTGCATACTAATATTTCTAATGTCTAAATTTGTCAAAATTACATATGTTGTTCCGAGTTCTATCTATGTTGATGTAGTTAATATCAACGCAGACTTTTAATTAAATCTTGTTAATTTTTTTTCTTTAAAAACAGATTAAATCTTTTTTAATCTCTCTCTCTTCATAAGTGGGGTTTGTAATCCCTGGGATTAACTTGACGTGGTTTATGTTCATTCTGTATGTTGTTTGTTGTTTTAAATTTAGCTACTCAGAACGAAATGTTCATGTAGCACGGGATATAGTGAGCCCGTAATTCATTCTGTAGTATGGAGACCAAACCTGAACTGCATAATCTAAATGGGGCAAAATAAGGAGAAGATAAAACTCAAGAACATATATTAGAAATCTTTCTGACAAGGCAGAAATAATTCCCAGAAGTATTCTCAGAAGGCAGAAGTATTTAAGCAGTAATTTAATAGTTTAAGATCCCTACTTAAGATCCCTCCTAATCGTGACTCTTTAAGTCCTTCTCGCATACAGCTTTCGCATTATTAACTTTGTCCAGCTGATATCTAGTGACTGTCATCCTAAGCAGAGAACCTTACATTTTTCAGCATTAAACTGAATCTGTCAATCTCTCGTCCATGTTGAAAGTCAATCTAGGTAATATTGCAACCAGTGTGTGTCTTCTGTTAAATTTATTTCCCCACCTTATTTGTTCATCGTCTGCAAATTTGGAATGTTGATGTTCAATTCTGTGTCTAAATTGTCTTTATAATGTAGAACAGAGGTCCTGGAACAGAGCCCTGAAGCACAGCACTTACATCGGTCTCCCACTTGAACTTTACTTCATTTATGCTAACTCTGCTTTATTTGAAATAACTAAGCTTTTATCCAACTTATCATAACACCATCCCAGCCTCTAATTTTGTGTGTGTGTATTTTCACCTAGTTGTGCTTGCGGGGGATGAGCTGTGCTCTTTCGGCCCGCCTCTCAACTCTTAATCAACTGTTACTAACTTCTATTTTTTTTGACACACACACATCCCCAGGAAGAAGCCCGTAACAGCTGTCTAACTCCCAGGTATCTATTTACTGCTAGGTAACAGGGGCATCAGGCTGAAAGAAACTCTGCTCATTTTTTCTCCCCGGCGCCGGGAATCGAACCTGGGCCACAGGATTACGTATCCACACAGCCACCGGCGCCCCCTTTGTGTGTGTGTGTGTGTGTGTGTGTGTGTGTGTGTGTGTGTGTGTGTGTGTGTGTGTGTGTGTGTGTGTGTGTGTGATAGGTAAGCATAAACATGCTTACCTATCAGTAACTTTGGGGAAGCGAGTTCCAGCTCCCCATGTCATGCCTATTAGTATTGGACAATTATACTCGTGGCGCTAAACGATGACTTTACTGAAGATTGAATTCATCTTCGAATCTGACCACAAAGTAGCGGACAGAGGTGACTTCCTCAGCTGTCTTGTAGTCGGGTTGGGCAATGACCTAAGGCAGGCAGCCCACTAGTGGCAGCGGCCGGCACTCTGGTCCGGCACTCTGGGTGGCACTCTGGGCTGGCACTCTGGACTGGCACCCCACGACACACGCACCGGAAGTGTGTTCCGCGTCCCCTTCACTGAACCACGATCAACCACAGCTACCGGGAAGAAGGGGGTCATGAACTCCCTGACCAGCAAACGTATACGAAGATAGAAGACAGAGAACAGAAGATAGGACAGATTCAGAGGGAGACAGATGAGACAGATTGAGAAGGAAGGGATAGAAAGATAGAGTGAAATGTTTGACGACATTGAGGGTGACATTGGAAGATAAAGAAGGAGACAGAGATACATAAACAGATAGAAAGATAGAGAGGGGATACATACAAGATGGAAGAATGGAAAACAGAGATGGTGAATAAAAATGTCTGAACATTAAGAAACAAAGAGGATAATCTTTCACAGAAGCCAGTTAGTGACAACCAATTGCTGTGGAGCATGATCTTCGAGGATGACCTTGAGGGCGAACTTGACCGACATCTACGTCTCATCGTAATCCATCCCTCTCTCATTCTCGCCCTCTCCCTCCTTCTCCACTTCTTCGCTAGGATTCTCCTAACTATTTTAACTCTTCTCTTTCTCACACACGCCACACTCCTCCAGTACCACTACGCTTCTCCCGCACCTTAACCCCTTCTCTGCCCTTCTCTGCCCTTCTCTCACCTTCTCCCTACTCCTCCCTCACTCTCCTGCTTCTCCCTCACTTTCGTCACACCCGGCTCCCCCCCCCCCTTTATGTTCCCTCGTCCCTTTCTATCAATAACCTCTTCATCATCTTCACGACCCTTTTCCTTATTTCCATGCCCATTCAACCATAACAGACTACTGGATCCAAACAAATCAGATAATTGAAAGCTTTTGAGTGTAAGTGTGTAAGTGACTGTAAGACAAAAGCTTGAAAAATAAGTGTTTTCTTCATCCTATTTCAAACACATATTCGATATTATCGTATTTTGTATAACAATCAACCTGTTTTAAAAATATATAGCTGTGTTTCATTTGATTAATTTAAGTATTTAAAAATATATGTCTTCATCTTGAATATCAGAGATTTTCATTCTATTACCTTCATAATGTCATATTTTCTTCCTTGTCTCAAAATTTGGTAGGTTCAGCTCTTTCTAAATATGACATACTTCTTAGTGTGGAAGGCTTCGCAGTAAGTGTGCATTACATCTCTCAGAAAGACATTCTTAAAAAAAAAATTAATGAGAGTTTCTTCGTATTTTAGTTAGGAAGCTCTTATAACATCTACCCGGCTGATTCACCTTTAATTGTTCCATTCAAGTGGTTCTATAACTACCTCTTCCTCAAGCAAAATCAACCTTTCTACGATTTTCTTATTAGCTTAGAAGATTGAAGAGTCTAGCCTTCCTAACCCGCCAGCCAGGTAGTGGGTACAATATCCAAGTGAAACGTTCATCGGACGTTGAATCAACGTTATGAAACGTTTAATTCAACGTTCAATCAACGTTATCAACGGTGTTCAGTGTTGAATTAACGTTACTTTTGTATGTTGTGGCTGGTTCTTCTTTAATCAATCATATTTACCTAATTTATCTCTCAAAATCCTTCATGCAATAAACGCCAGTACATCTTAGAGTGTGTTCTGGGAGACACACCCAGAGTGTGTGTTCTGGGGGACACACCCAGAGTGTGTGTTCTGGGAGACACACCCAGAGTGTGTGTTCTGGGAGACACACCCAGAGTGTGTGTTCTGGGGAACACACCCAGAGTGTGTGTTCTGGGAGACACACCCAGAGTGTGTGTTCTGGGAGACACACCCAGAGTGTGTGTTCTGGGGGACACACCCAGAGTGTGTGTTCTGGGAGACACACCCAGAGTGTGTGTTCTGGGAGACACACCCAGAGTGTGTGTTCTGGGAGACACACCCAGAGTGTGTGTTCTGGGAGAGACACCCAGAGAGTGTGTTCTGGGAGTCAGCGGTGCGGACCTTGGTGCTTGGCCCCGGCTTGCATCGTCGTGGGGTGCCGGTATCCTAAGATGATGCTGAGCTGCGATGCTCACACACGCAGTTCAGGTGCGCTTGCTGCCACGACGGTAGTGTTACACACACACACACACTCACACACACACACACACACACACACACACACACACACACACACACACACACACACACACACACACACACACACACACAGGTGGCGCCGGTGGACAGCACGCTGGACACGTAATCCAATGGTCAGAGGTTCGATTCCCGGTTCCCGGCGAGAAAC